GTATCGTCTAGGTCTTTCCGACAGTCAAGAGCACTTTATCAAAATGCTATCAACATGCTAGGAATTACTGAGAATTATCTTGGAGATGTCAGAAACAATGTTCTAAGCATGTAGTTCATGTCAAACTGGGCAGTAACAGTCCTCAAAAGCAATGTATGTCACAAAAAAGTTTACTGAGACACTATGTTTGACATGTATCATTACCCAATCTATAACGCCACAAGACAATGGACAACCTAACAAGTTCCTTAGAGCACTGGTCAATAGATATGAGATTACCACTTCCTTTTACGCTTATGTAAGAAAGAGGGAAATGGCGATAGATGCTTGAGCAAAATTAAACCTTTTCTCAATTGATTGATCAATATGGCAGATGTTAAAATACAGCGATTCACAGTTAATTCTGAAAACATTCTTAAGAATTTGCCCTGAATTTGCATTTCCCTGCTGGTGCTACAGAGAATTTGAAAACGCAAAGATACGGCAATTGATATCTGAAGCGGATAATGATAAAGACATTGTGTAACTTCCAAATCGAATGTCCCTCATGGTAATCTGTGCAGCGCATGCTGTTGGCAGCTTGCTTCTGGCACAAACTATCGTTCATCATGACTGCCACCCCTGTTATTCTACACAGAGTTTCGACATTGTAGAGTAGGCAGTCGTATTACACGAATCAATTTTTTTTCGATTTGCGGCCGTCAAAGTCCTTAAAGTTGCTACCATATCAATTTCGTACAATGCTTCTTTGAAAACGTTGGGCATTTTTTACCAGATTTCTATGAGATTAAAACCTTCTGTGGAGATGTTGTTTTGTAGTATGGGAAGGACTTAGTCATGTTGGTCTTAATCGGCCACTTAGCAGCTGTTTTGTATCAGTTGGTAATGCAATTTTTTATTAAACATTTAGTCAAGAGTTATATCAAATCAAGTACGGAGATCGACATGGAAGTACGATGGAAGGCGACTGTACCAGGCATGCCAGTAAATATATTCGAGTGTGAATGTACAGAAATGCATTGTCGGAGTAGATGAGATATTCCATCTTTTATATTTTGCAATAACCACAAAATTAATGAAATAAAGTATGTGCTCTACACGGTTTGACACATTGTGATGAACTCATTCACCGTAACTGCTCCTTT